ATGCTCTGGACACACAGGTTGTATACACACAAATCCCTGTAGCCATACGCTCTGGACACGCAGGTTCTGTACACACACAAATCCTCGTAGCCATATGCTCTAGACACGCAGGTTGTGTAGACACACAAATCCTCATAGCCATATGCTCTGGACATGCAGGTTGTACACACACACAAATCCTCGTGCAGACAGAATTACAACCCTGGCTGTGCTGCTGCTGTTCGTCTCAAATGGAGCTATTTCTGCTTCTCAACCTTTGTTTCTCTTTGCTCTCCTAGAGCCCTGTGTGAGCATTCCAAAGAGCGCTGCGAGTCTGTTTTGGGGATCGTGGGCCTCCAGTGGCCTGAGGACACTGACTGCAGTCAGTTCCCCGAGGAAACCGCAGACAATCAAACCTGCCTGATGCCCAACGAGTATGTGGAAGGTTAGTTTTTAAATTCCTTACTGACAGTGGGGCCTCCAGCCTGGCCGAGCGTGTCGATTACCCTGGGAGTCTCTGTGGGGGTTTAGTTGTGTGTTTTTATATTCATCATCAATTTAGTTGCTGATCAGGCTACGTAGGTGAGTGAATCTGTGCACCTGAAGACACTGAGGGATTTGGCACATCTGTTAGACACTGTCATCATCTTAAAAATAAGAAATCTTTGAAAACATACAATTAAATAAACTCAGAGGTGAGTTTAATATGCCAAGTGTTTTTCATGTTAGCCACACATCACTCACAGAGCCCATTAGATACGGCTGCTAATTTTATGGAGGGGACCTGAAGGTAATGCAGACATGGAGACTTGGTTACTTCAAGGGCAAGACATTTTGAGACCGTGGTGACATCGGGCCATTACATAGAGCCATGGAGAAGGGGCCCTTCCTGCCAGGTGGAAAGACTGGGGTGTGGGAATGATTATGACACTTTGAGGCAGCCCGAGAGTCAGGGGCATCCATGCCACAGATGTTCGGGCTCTGGCAATCATTAGGTTGTCCATTTGGAAAGATAATTGCTGGAAAGCACAGACACTAGACCGGTGATCTGGAAAGATGGTACCAGAATGAAAGAGAAGGATGTTGATTCACAGACAGAAGAACTTTGGTTCTAATAAAGATCATTCTCATTTCCAGTAAAAGCTGCTGCCGACATTCCTTGTTTAAGTAGAGAAATGAGCTGATGTCACGGTTTTTTGTCCCCTGAGAGTAACGTTGTTTTAACAGAGTGCTCACCCAGCCACTTCAAGTGCCGCTCAGGACGGTGTGTTCTGGCTTCCAGAAGATGTGACGGCCAGGCTGATTGCGATGACGACAGTGATGAAGAGAACTGTGGTATGTACCGTGTGACTGTTCCTGAACGTACAGTAATAGCAGGTTAGATAAGAAGCTGCCTTGGAAATGCAGACTCCTCCCTGGTGGCCGCAGCTGGGCCTGAGTGCCGGGGATCTTGCCACTTCCTTCCCTTCTCCGTGTCCTCCCCCTGCTCTTCCTCTCCCCTCAGATACGGTCTTGCTTTGTTGCCCAGGGTGGAGGGCAGTGGTGCAGTCACAGCTCACTGTAGCCTCAGCTTCTGGGTCAAGCTGTCCTCCTGGCTGAGCTTCCCAAGGAGCTGAGACTAGGGACGCACACCACCGCATGTGGCTGATTTCTTTTATAGATGGGGTTGTGCGATGTTGCCCAGGCAAACCCTAAAGCATGCATTGATACGTATTTCCCTAACTCCCAATTTCCCCTAAACAACTCCTCTATATAACCTTGATATATACAGTATGTGCATGTGTACAGTAGCCCACCAGCCCTTATCCAGAGGGGAAATGTTCCAGTGCCCCCCATGGATGCCTGGAAACCAAATTCTCTATATATAGCACTTTATTTTTTCCTATAAATACATACCTACCTGTGATAAAGTTTAATTTATAAGTTAGGCATGGTAAGAGATTAACAACAACAATGATCAACTGGAAAATTATATCAATATAATTTAATAAAAGCTGTGTGAATGCGATCTCTCTCTCTCTCTCTCTTCTTGATCAAAATATCCTACTGTCCAGTACTCACCTATTTTTAGACCATGACTGTGGGTAACTGAAACCATGGAAAGCAAAATCTCAGATGTAGGGGTATTACTGTACGTGGGGGCTCTTAGTGAGAGGGGGAACTACTTCACCAGGGTAAGGAATTATTTTCATTACTAAATTATACAGCTGTTTTTATTTATTTCAAAATTTGAATAATGGTGGTTCTGCTTAAGATTTCCTCACTGCTACGTAGACATCTGATACACAAGGACAGAGTTCAGACGCCGATGTTTACATTTAATTGGGCCTCATTTTTGCGCCCTCTCATGTTTTGTCCCTGTTGGCAAAGGATCTAACTCTTCCTGACGTTTCTGCTATTGAGCTCCAAAATCGCCGATGGAGAGGCCAGAAATGCCAATTGTCATTTAAATGGAGCTAATTTCTGTTTTATTTCCTCGTAAGCCTGTGGACTTGTAACTTCTATGTGCCAGGGAGTAGACATCAGACAATGCTCTTTAATTGTGTCCTGGAGGAAAGCAAAATGATTGAAGTTCTATCCAAAGAACGGTTTGGTTATGATTATTTAGCTTGTCCAGATTTTTACAAAACTGACACTTTTTCATTGAAGGCACGTAAGGCAATATATCTTCTGTAATCATTTCCTTCTTTTGGCCTTTGAGGTATGAAATATTGCCTTGCTCTTCCAAATGAATTTTCTGTGGTAGACATTGCCCTTCTGGTCTAGACAAAATGTCACAAGCAATCAACTGAAATCCTATCAGCTACTATAAATATGGACAAGTGTATCTTCTGGAAAATCACAGCTGTCAGATTGATGCTACAATGGCCGGGGTAATTTTATTATGGGGGAACACACAGTGTTTTGAGAACCTGCTGTTATTTGCTTGTGTGTGATTTTTCCATAAAGAAATAAATCTAAACTCATTGAATACCCCTTGTGTAAGTGATTTATTGAGAATGTATTCACTTTGTTTACTTAGCTATGACTTTGATGGGTTATGGTATGCTGAGATGTAGTTTAAAGTGGGTTATTCTTAGATGGCTCAGAGAGGTTGTATGATCCCCTGTTGGGGCGGCTAGAAATAAATTTGCAGTAGGGGACTACATGTTTGAGAAGTACAAAAACTTAGTTAAAAAAAAAGCCTTACCAAGAGTAAAAGGTCTGAGTTCTAGAATGTATTCTGCAAAAAAGAAGTCCAAAGTATTATAGTTAATTCAGTGTTTACATGACCCTAAATATCCGATTTATGATTAAGTAATGAATTTTCATTAGTATTTTAATCACAAAATTAAAGGCACGTCAAAAATGATAGAATGTTACTATCTAATCTCTACCAATCACCCAAAATATTGACAGCACTACTTAGAGTTCTAGTTAAGCAAAGTTAAAAATGTGAAAGAAATGAATATGCTTAGAGTTAAATTAATTGTTCCAAAAGTATTAATTTGTGAGACAACTCCTATGAAGTTTTACAAGGTGACTGATGATGGACAACTTTATAAATCTTCCCCTTTGGGGTGTATGCCTACATTTGGGCTTGCACAATGCCCCAGGGGGCCACATCCCTTAAAATCAAATATGGAAATCAAGTTGGTGAAGACTCCATAGAGGACTAGTAGAAAGTCATCCAGTTCTCATTTTGCCTACTTATTTTTTGTTATTCTATTTTCACGTGTACGTAGGTTACCATCTGGTAATGCAAACACCGACTCCAGGGAAACTGTGTTTCACCCCACGCTTCATGTCTTTCCAGTTTATTTCGTCCATTGTGCTGTTGAAGGCATTTAAAACTATGGGCTTTACTGAATAATATGACAGTTAGTCATTGTTATGAATTTGTCACTCCCTCAGAACTTCAAACGATGTTACTGGGCTTCCCTTCAAAACAATACTTATTTAATTTAGTTGAAAATAAATGATGTGTTAGAAATTAAGTTTACTTATTATTTCCTTGGCACCTTTGTAGCAGGAAAGCATTTAATTAAAAATACATTTTAAAAGTACATGTTAGAATTTAACATCAAGTGATGTGTTTTTAAATGTCTCCACCTTTTCCTGGTAAATTTTTGTTGCTGGAATTTTTTTGGTTGTGTAGTTGCTGACGTTAATAAGAGTTGAAAATACTGTCGGTATTAGAAATATTTTCAACAAGTGTTTGGAAGAATTATGCAAACCTGAACATGTCATTCTGGAGCTGCTTTTTGGGAGGGAATGGTACAAGACAGGAGCATGTTGGCCGTCAGTGCTGTGTCAGTACAGCAGCACTGTACACACACTATGCAGATGGAGCTGTCTGTAAAACCAGCGACTTGATAAGTGAGCTTATTTTCAGTGCAATTTTCCAAGCAGTGATAGCCAAGTAGTGGAGAACAAGGCAAAGATTTGGGCAAAGAAATGAACCAGAACAAAGAAGAATGGTGAACTAAGAAAAGTAGCCATGGGATTGTATTTTGGAGCTCAGTGGTCACACCGTGGATTTGCATGTGTGAAGCTGAGGGTAGCTCTTGCTGGGAACTTCAAGAGCAGGTGGCACCTGGGTTGTAATGCAAGCAACAAGTCTCAGTGAGGCAGGTGGATGACAACATCGTGAGAACAAGTGCTTTAGCTCTACTGTCAGAATAAAATCATCATACACAAACACAGGTCCTAACTGCTAATTGATCCCTATTCTAAGTAAAGGCCACGTATGTATCACGTGGAGCAAGATTGACAGCAACACGAATGCCTGAGGGTCATTAAACGTCTTTCTATTTATCTTCAAGTAAAAAACATTACTTCGCTAGCTTTTTGACCTCCTCCTGGGCTCAAATAAAATAAAACCTTTAAATGTGACCCCTGCCATTTCCTAGAGTCAAAAATCCCGGTAAGATGTTTTCATTGATCTGACTCCGACCTGTATTGGTTTCACAGCTTGATTTCAAAAGCTTTCCCAAACGCTGTCTTTCCCACCGGTTTGGACTCTTTCCCAGCATTAGTGTCCTTACCTCACAGAAGGGCTTAGGGTTTCTTAGCTCTCCACATAGCCAGGCTATGTGCTCTTATGTCTCGTTGCTTGGGGAGGGCATGTCTATACCTGTGGCGTGTCTGTGGCTGCTTTCAAGACGAATCGTAAGAACTGATGTCTTACCACTCAGAAGGGTTTAATTTCCAGTGGTAAGGGAAAGATGTCCTCCTTTCCTTTAGGCACTTAGTTGACTGTTTCACTGTCTTATGTGGAATCTTGAGCAGGAAGCCTGAAATGGCAGAGTGCTCTGCCTCGACTTAGATTTGGGTTTAAATCCTAACTCAGCACTTGGAGGCTGTGTGACTTTTGGTCAGTCACTTAACTTCTCTGAGCCTCACCTGTAAAATGCAGAGAACACACACCTTATCCCCTGCAGCTTGGAATGCTTATAACATCCCCTATTTAGTCCTTAGAAGACAATAACCAAGACCCTACCTGCTGTCGTGGAGGGAAATATAGGAAGTGATTCTCTCAAAAGCCTCCCCAGGGGTCTCCTTAGAGGATCGGAGTCCTGCATGGCGTGGTCTTGTTTCCAACAGCTGTTGCTGGTGCAGGGGATTAGGCTGACATGCCGTGTCTAGAGCACGGGCTGGGCCAAGTCTCTGGCTTGTGGAGTAAACCCAAGTGGCAAGGATGTGTTTTGTCCTGGAAATAGTGCTTGTGGTATGGATGTTCCCTGTCTCCAGCTTGCAACTTAAAGCCCTTTCATTCTCTCATCCTGCGTCCCTTTCACAGGGGACTAGGCTACCTTGTGCTAAAGGGCATGCCATGGAGACAGCATCGCTAAAAGCGGGAGGTGACTTGGGTACTGGACTGAGACCGAGTAGATGGTGGCTTTAAGACCCACGCTGGGGTGGCTGCGCCTTGTGGTCAGGCCTGGAGCCTGGGAGAGGCAGGTCCTTTCCTCTGGCTACTGAGGGAGCAAGGCTGAGCTCTCTGCCCTGCTTGAGAGAAGGGGCTTGCTTGCCCAGGGGAGTCCTCACATCTGCTAAGCCTGAGCTTTGGCTGCTGTATCCTCTCCAAGGTCTGGATCCAGCTGCTGCAGCCTCTGTCGCTCGGGAACCAGACCCACCCCATGTCCTTTCTCCTCCTGAGTGGCTGCTCCTTGAAGGGGGAGATACTTTCACTGCATGCAGTTCAAGCCAACATCCTGAGTAGACCTTCTCGGCCTATATTTGCATAACTAAGATGTTCTTACAGAGCAAGGAGCATCTGCTTTAAGGTGATTTGCTGATGTTACTTAATAAAGGCAACTTTTTTTGGTTGAGAAACACGGTGTCCCAGTTGAGTTGGCACCTGCCTCTGGCAGAGAATTGAAGCACTGAACAGAAGGCGTGGCATCACTGTGACCGATCCTTCTGGTTTGCCTGGGACTGATGTGGGTTTCTTGGGACAAGGGACACTCAGCACTCAGATCTGTCAAGTTCCAGGCAAAAAGGAATGAGTTGGTCCCTTATTTGGTACTCTGTGTTCTCGATTAGTGGGCATTGCTGCTAGCTGTGTGCTGGGATGGTTGTTATTCTGACTACAGGAATTATTTGGCTTCATAACCTACAGCTGCATTTAAAAAATGCCATCCTATCCATACCTGTTTTTAATTTTGAATGGAGTCATATATTTTTCCTTTTAGTATGCACATTTAAAGCATAATTACAGGCTGGGTGTGGTGGCTTATACCTGTAATCCCAGCACTCAGGGAGGCCAAGGCAGGAGGATTGCTTCAATTCAGGAGTTTGAGAGGAGCCTGAGCAAGAGTTCTCACAGTTCTCCCTGTCTCTACAAAAAATAGAAAAATTAGGTGGGCGTCGTGGCAGATAACTGTAGTCCCAGCTACTTGAGAGGCTGAGGCAGGAGGATCAGTTTAGTGCAGGAGTTTGAGTTTGCTGTGAGCTTGACTGATGCCGGCACTCTAGCCTGGGTAAAAGAGTGAGATTCTATCTCAAGAAACACCCCTCAAAACAACAACAACAACAAAAACTCATAATTATACCAAAAATGTTAATTTAAAGAGAGTGGCTTCTTTTTAAAAAATAATACTACCTTTTATTGACTTCATAACTCCACAAAGCAGCCATTAGGCCGTGCAAACCTTTATGAAAAAAGAGGAGACATGGAGGGGTAAGTTAATGCTTCTAGAGTACTCATTTAATGTTTCTAGTAACCCCACATAGCAGGCATTATTACTACTATTACAGTGATACTATGGAGATGAAGGTTCAGAGAAGGTAAGTAACTTACACAAGGTCACACAGCCAGTGAGACAGGAACAGGGATTCAGATCCAGCTGCCTGACTCTAACCCTGCACTTCTGTCCTCCTCTACCCACACTGAATGTTACCACCTTACTCAGGACCACAATTAAAGACTTGTACCTGGATCCCATCCAGATCTTCCATAGAACTGTAATCTGGAGAAATTTACTTAATTTCTGTAAATGTTCATTTCCTCACTTATAAAATAGTGAGCATAATACTGACACTGTGATGTTAATTTAAGAATTAAAACTAATGTCAGAATATGGGTATGTAGTGGATAATACCTGTTATCTTTTGTTGTTGTTGTTATTGTTTGTGAGGACGCAGTTTAGAAGGCCTTACGCTCTAGAAGATCTACTTTTTGTGGTCTTTTATCAACTCTTTCCAAATGTCCAAGTTCTTCCCCATTCTCTTTGGAAGGGTAGGGTGTGAATAATAAGAACGCTCATGCTGTTTCTTTCATCCTGTCCTAGCAAGTGGTATGTTGTAAGGAAGAAGCGTCTCTGGATGCTCTGGAGCTGGGTGGGCACCTCTCTGGAGCAGGGTGGGCACCGTGGAAGGCTGAGGCCTCCTTCTTGATATCCTTTGCTGTCTGGAGAAGTGAGCAGACTGGGCCAGATGAAAGTTGGGTCGCGGAGGGAAGATTTCAGGCTTCTCAAATCTCCAGAGACTGTCATTGTCAGAATATTCCATACGCTATCTGTAGCCTCTGCTAGCTGAGAATTTCAAATAACCCCACGAGTTCCTAGAATAGAAGCCCCTGGACTTAAGGCCCCCTGCAGATGAACAGCCAGGGAAAGAGTCTCACTGTTTATTTCCTCTGTCTTTGGATAATGAAGTACACTCATTTTAGCTCATAGTAAAAATTTTTTTTTTCTGGTGACTTATTTGGATAATTGCTTTCAATGAGAATTTTGAAAAGAACCGATTTCCTTTTTCTCATACTGGATTCCAAGAAAGTCAATCACATACAAAATTTCTTGGAATTATTTGTACCAGATCAGATGAAAAATAACAGTTTTAGAGAGACTTCTTATTTGGTCACTACTTTGCATCGACCAGACAAGATTTATCTTTTCCTAGGAGCCAGAGACATTTTGTTCCTTACATAAAATGAAGTTCCACTTAAAAGACACATGTGACCAGGGCTTGGCTTGGGCTAGTTGCTTTTCTGGGCTGGGCTGGAGGGAACTCAAAGTGGCACCTGGTGTGGTCTCATTCTTCATGCACTTCACAGCCTGGCCAGGGCCAGGGGTCTCACTGGAGTGACAAAAACACACTAGACCCTCAGCTCGCTGTAGCAGATATAAGAAGTGCACCACACTGAGCCAAATGGCCCTGTATTAAGTACATCACAAGTGCTTTCTCTGTCATAGGCAAATTACTGTTCCAATTACGGACTTTTCGCCCAGACCTTGTGCCGATTATATTCATTTTTCATATTAATTGATCAAGTTTCCCACTTTAGATCTCTGAGTATCATGAAGTGAGGGCCTTCACCGTTGGCTCCTAAGCTAGTTTGGTAGGTATTTGCCATAAAGAGGAGCCTGTTTTGCTAAACTTACAGAGGGCATCTCCATTTGTTGAATGAAATTACATTTTAAGATAACATTCATTTTGATCACTAGGTTTTGGCATTTGTGCTTAAAAGCATAACTCCTCATTTTGTAAATAAGGTGCTGGCAAATTGACTCAGAGAGCGAAAGGAGCAGCTGAAAAGGAACGTTCACGGATCTTGCGTTTCCATTTCTTCCCATATGTCAATTTCATCTTCTGGTAGGAGAGCGCCACTACACATGTCAAAATTAGTAGGCACATCGACTTTCAGAATTCCATGATTCCTGGTACAGAGGAGTCAGATCTCTAAGAAAAAAACAAATCATATCCTTACATTTTTCTACATTACTGGATCAAATTCATCTTTGTTTTCAACTCCATATCCATTGTAAATAAGCTTTTCTTCTGTCTCTAGGTTGTAAAGAGAGAGATCTTTGGGAATGCCCATCCAGCAAACAGTGTTTGAAGCACTCAGTGGTCTGCGATGGGTTCCCAGACTGTCCCGATAGCATGGATGAAAAAAACTGCTGTAAGTATGTACGTCAATTTGTCAAAATGACATTTCTAAATGCCAGTTACCCCTCATTTTGAACAAGTTTAAAATTTCTAAATATGTATTAAAAGCTTTTAATATGTTTGGATCTTTTGAACAAAAGTCCACTTGTAAAGATAAATGCCGATAAGAAAATCAAATGGGTTTAAAATCACGTATTTGTACTATGGTACTATTCTAGCTTTATTTATAACTGGGAAAACTGAGACACCTCAAACATTCAAACACAGGGGACATAAAATGCAATCATAAGATAAAAATAATATGCAAACATTAAAATGAAATTGGAGAAGAATAGTTTCTCCCGGCTCATTATTTATCATTAGTTGGATACAGCAGAATGTATGGTGTTCTGTGCGCTACTGTCCTGAGTTTTCAAAGTACCCATCTACCCACTTACAGAAAAAGATCAGATGGTCATAGTAAAAAGTTTACAAGTATAATCCCTGGGAGATGAAATTATTAAATTTGGGGGCTTGTCTATCTTTCCTGCATTTTTCTAAATTAATGGACATCACTTTCAGAACCAGAAAAAAAATGCATCTCAAAATATTATACCTACAAGTAACAGAAAGGTGAGGTCAATCTGATACACAATGAAGACATGTATCTTATTTTATTCTATATCACATATAAAAGATCACGTGTAAGGCAGATGCTTGAGGCTGTATGCAGGCATCAGCACCGTGCTTGTGGTTCTTTCAGTTCATCTTGATCTCAGGCTGGCTCCCACCATGGTCAACGGGACCTGCCAAGAACCCCTGGGTTATGTTTTCTTGATCAGATCCAGTGGGGAGGACAGAGCACCTTGCTCATCTCCAAGACTAAGGGATTCACTGAGGACAATTTTGGGTAGAGTCACAGTTAGCAGTCAGGAGCCTTCGTGTAGATTAGAAAATATACCTCCTATAAACAGATGAATTGCAAAAAGCACCACGCAGGGAGAATCAATCCAAAAAAGTTGCTATTTCCTAGAGGCTGCTCCTGTCCCAGGCTACAGCACACGGCATGGCCAGCAGGGATTGGGTAGGAGCTGCCTTGCAGAGTCCAACCTACAAAATCATAGTCCAAGGGCTGATCATCAGTCACATACTTATTCCTGGACTGCTAATTATACTCAGAAAGAAAAAGTAGTCAGAAAAATGCCAAACCTAGATCAAACTAATCATGGCCTTCCCCTGGCTCGGAGGGCAGCAGGTGTGGGGGCTGAACAAAATTAGGTTCCCTTAAAAAAGGAGGAAGAAGGGAAATGAATGTTAAGTAGTCAAGAAGATTCACTATAAGTTTTAAAAACACCAAAGAGAATTATGTAAGACTCAGAGAGTCATTTCATAGTAGGAATTAAAATAAATAGACATTGCCCATCTATGTGGACAGAGCTTGGTTTCCTCCTATGGAGGCTTTGGAGGGTTCAGCCTTTGTGCTTTGCTCATGCCGACTTTAACTCTGTTCTTGAATTGTTAATATTTCTGCGGCTATGAGTACTGTTTTTTCAGTCCAAGTGTTAGGACTAGAGAATCTAGCCGCTTGAAGCTAGTCATTCTGCTTAAGTGATCTTCGTATGGATTGACGTCTATTAAAGGAGATTTTTATAAATTCTGTCCATTCTGCCTTAAGGGGCCTCAGCAACCACATGTTTTATTCCTTCCACGCTCCTGCTGGTGGATGAAAACCTGAGTGTCAGTGACAATCATATTTCTTTCCAAAACGATCCAGTCTTCTTCCTTGTTCTCTGTCCCAGCATTTTGCCAGGATGACGAGCTGGAGTGTGTAAACCACGAATGCGTGTCCCGTGACCTGTGGTGTGACGGGCAGGTGGACTGCTCAGACAGTTCGGATGAGTGGGACTGCGGTGAGCTCTTTGTGTCTGCCGTCTGTGGTACACCC